TGTCAGATTCTTTGTGGTCATAAAACTCCACATTCTCACAGAACCTTCAAGAGCCTCTTTCAGAGATAGAGCAGGGAGCAAGAACCCAGAACAATTTGGTCTTAAATAGTCTGTTCACCTGATATTGTCCCCCTGACGCTTATATGAATAAGCAATGTAGCTTTTTTTTTTTTTTTTTTTTTTTTAAGTGAGGGCTAAGAACTGCAATGTGGTGGGCATATTCTCTGCTGAAATATAAGGTGTCTTTGAAACTCAGATTTCTCAGCTGTATGAGGGCTTTAATGATCTGTCCATAGTCTTTTTTTCAGATCTAAAAGTCTTTAACTAATTTATATTAACAAACTTTCTATTTCAAGATACTGAATCAGGGCTGGGGAGATGGCTCAGTGGAATAAGCACTTCCCTGGCAAGCGCAAGGGCCTAAGTTCAATCCCCAGTTCTGGAAAAAAAAAAAAAAAGATACTAAATCTCCTCATCTATGATTAAGTAGGTCACAATTACGTCAGATGATATGGATGTACTTAATGAATCAATCAGAGCGCTGATTTGATTGTAATTAGTGAACTTAGTCAAATTATCAGCGAAGCACTTTATTCTTGCTTTATGACTTAAGTGAACTTACTAGTGACTTTACATAGAAATCCTGAAGCAACTACTATAAATGTGTAGACATCTAGTTCTTCACAGATCAGGGAGGGTTTGGCTGTAGTGAGGGACAGATTTTGTACTGTGGAGATGTGGTTACAAATATTGTTGCAACGTGATAACTCTCACCCAGAAAACCCACCACACGGTCCAGAGCTAAGTCTCCACCCCTGTCCCAGGATTCTAACTTGAGTTGACTCTACTTCAAAGGAAGGAAAGCTTGTTTGGCCAAAAATCCATAGAGCGTCAGTTTCAGGAATGTGACATGCTGTTAAACCACAGCCGTGTAAGCTTGCGGCCTCTGAGATTTTCCAAGGATGAAAGTTTCACTTTTCAAAGAAAAACATGGCACCATGTAAATTGGAGAAACATAGGGTAAATGGTGTCAGTTGGCCCCAGGAAGCTATCTCTCCCAAAGAATACCTACTATGCGTAAGTATATTCTGGGAAAGCGCAGGAGGTGTTTGAGTATGGGCTAAACTTGCAAGATTACAATGATAAGACACACTTCCTGGGCTTGGGTGGCTTTTCAGAAGACAGAAGTAAAAGACAGTTGGGATGGTCAGACTCCAGTATCCATGCATGGCATTGTGGGAGTGTTGTAGAACATAGGGTATTATCCCTGAGGTCAGTGAATGGTCAGCATGGGAAAACAACTAGGAGAGACTTGCGGGTACATTGCAGCTGGAAACAACAAATCACTTGACACTCTGCCTCTGAGATCACAGCTCTGCCCTTCACACTCCCACCTCCACATCTGGCCCTGGGGTTGGAGAGAATAATCGCTAAGGACTGCTGACTGCTGGAAGAGGATGTGAGGTGTCCTGCCTCCTAGATTGTAGTACTTCATTTGAAAGACAAAGAATTTTGAATACTCCACTACTAGACTGCAGTATTTACTGCATCTCAAAGTAAGATAGGTCTTTGAGTAACTGAATGAATACAGAATCAAGTTTTAGAGCTTCACAATTTTTTTAACTTTGGAAGAGAACTTGGAGCATCATTTAACCCAACTTCCCGTCTCTGTTGGCAGGGAATTCAATCTCTCACAAGGTAGCCTGTTTCATGACCAAAGGGCTTTAGTTGCCTCCTTGCACGTTATTCACATCCCCCTTCTCCTACCTCGCCCTCCTAAGTATGTGCTTTAGTCTTCAGAACAGGTTTGGACCTGTATTTACAACTGCATTTGAATTGTTTGAAGGAGACACCACAACCGTACTAAACAGCATTTGTTCCTCCCACAGTGCTTTTATGGGATGGCTCCAGGACTTTGCTAAGGTCATCTGGACACTGACTAGGTTTCACATGTACTCTGAAGACTGAAATCAATTCTCCCTCAAGACTGAGAATGATTTTCTAGTAGAGAAAAAGCAGGGATGGCGAACATTATGGAGTGTTCCATGTTACCCAACAGCCATGGCAGCACGTATGCTGTAAGTTTGCCACCACTGAGTCAGAGCTTCCAGGTCAGATCATGGGCAAACACAGCCTGAGGGCAAACACAGAAAACTTGGGATGGCTGCTCCAGGAGAGGGCCGCCCCTTCTAAAGGAGCCAGGTAGCCTTGGTCAGGTCCTCAGCAGAGTACTTGCTAAACTGTGGGTGCTTGCTGCCTCTTCCTGTACTGGGCCAGAGTATGTGGGCACTAATTTTCATGGACACTGGTGGAAAAACCACTAGCCCCTGAGACTGGCATAGAAGGGGGAAGCTCGCCCCCTTGTGGACTACTTGGGCATGACAAGGTACAAAAAGCACTGAAACCACCCAGAAAAGGAAGGGTCTGGAAGGAGCAGCCATTTCCTCTCACAACTCTCATTTCACCAATCTCTGGTGACCTGCAAAAGAACTGATCTGCACTGGGGCAGTGTTGGGGAGGAGTGGCAGGAGACATGAAGTGCCTTGCAGACCTCTGCATATGGTGTTTGACTACAGAAGTTGGAAAACTATCAGGCCAATCATATTAGCTGTTGTTAAAAAAGAAAGAAGGGGCTGGGTGTAGTGACACATGCTACTGAGGAGACTGGGGCATCAGGATGACAAGTGTAAACCCAGCTTGGGCAATTTAGACAGTCTCTGTCTCAAAATTACAATAAAATATTTTAAAAAGTAAAGAGATGGGGATGCAGCTCAGTGTGAAGGCCCTGGGTTCAATCACCACTATCAACAAATTAATACACACAAATATAAATATATAAACAAACAAATAAATAAATAGTTTTTTAAAAGAAGAGAAAACAGGGATCAAGAGACCCTTTCTGGCTCCACCACTTGCTGTGCAGCTTCAGGCAAATCCCAGTCCATCTCTGGGCCCCCAATGGCTGTGCAAAGTAAGGCTGCAGTCCTTAGGAATGCCAAAGCATGAGGCTGTCACACCAGTGTCTTAAGAGTGGTCTGTCATTGGTGGTGCCATACTGCTGACCAAAGACAAAAGGACAAGAGAGGTGACAAGAGCAAAAGGCATTGTGGAGAAGGATCCAGAGGCTTCAACCTACCTGATTTGGTAGTTCAAAACCCACAGTCTAGAGAACACAGCCATCACTGTGCAGATGCCTGGAACCCCAGAGGATCATTCCCCCCAATTGAGCCTCCCCCACTCCCCATTTTAGACAAGTCTGCACCATTTCTCCATAGTGTGGGCCCTGGCCCAAAGATACCTATGTCATAAAACGTGCTTGCTCGGCATGTGACACAGACTTATTTCATGGTCAATACAGCAACCCCTAAACGTCCAGTCATATTCACACTTTCAAATTTCTAAACTGTCTTGATCTAGAACTCGGCACATCATCAAAGATTGGGTTTTTACCACTTTTTTGAGGTAAATTTTGTACAACTCTATGACTGATCTATATAATTGAGCTAAAAGAGGAAAGGCAAACCAGAAGTACTTTCCTCCTTAAAGTTTTCCAGATTAAAAAATGAGGTACAGGGCCCGGGGAGATGGCTCAGTAGGATAAGCACTTGACTGGCAAATGCAAAGATCTGAGTTCAATCCCTGGTTCCGTCAAAAAAAAAAAAAAAAAAAAAAAAAAAAAGGTACATTTCAAAATTTGAATATGTTAAAATGGCTCAAATTTTACTGTGCTATGCTTATAATGTAGAGGACCTCATAGTCACCAAAGATGTTGTTGTTAAAGGAAAACTGTCCTCCCATAAAATAAAAAGTGTTCAAACACCTTTAAAATGATCTGAAATAATGGTACCCTTAGGCTAGTGTGCTCCTAGCTCAAAGGATCTAGGGTAAATGTTATGAGGCTGAGGGTCATCCTTGCATACCACAGGACGTTAAAACTTCAGTTGAAACTACAAAATCCTGCTTCATTGTTTAAATGGCCTTAGAAGGTTATTATAAGGCATTAGAAGTTATTGTGCAAACACTCTAAAAATCGGAGGGTTCCAACAATAAGTACAGCCCACGTTCCACCTATATGCTAAACTCAGGTAAAACATACAACGCTAATTGTAGACAGAACCCCATTCAAACATCCGTTTAGACCACCCAGTTTCTGTGGCATTGCCAAATTCTAAAATTGTAATGAAAATTGTAAAGTCCAAAACCTACAAGCCATCAGAGGTTCAGTAAGCAGATTGTGCCATTTCAAAATGGAAAATGTGCTTGCATAAGCAAGTCACCAGGGCTAACCTTTCTGGATTGAGAGTCTGGCCTTCAGTTCAGAACATGGTCATGTCAGGGTCAGAAATGTGACAAAACTGCTCTTCCACGGAGGTTAGCCAAGGTTCACAGGGTCATGACGGGGCCATTTTATCAGTCATGTCAGACTCACACCCTATTGCCTGGGATAGATAAAAACTTTATCTGTCAGTTTGCTAAATCTGCTCCTCCTGCCTCATTTTGAATAAAGAAAACCTGGGCTCAGCTTATCTGAACCACCTTTCTCAGCACTGTTTTCATATGCAACTTCTAAGAAAAGGTGACATGTTGGTGATTTTTGGTCTCCTTTCAGACAAGAACTGTCCAGAAGTAGAATGACTGGCTTTGTCTTGTCTACAACCTTAACTTTGAGGAGCAATTCTGATCCTGTCAGATGATATGGGGTTTTTTAAATGAAGGTTAGATACACTGAAAGTGTTATATTGGTATGACAGTTCTCAGTCGGCATATAACCTTTGTAGAATGACCTTTGTCTAAAATGAAGTCCCTCCTCCCCCAAAAAATAAATAAATAAAATGAAGTCCCCCTCACCCCCACCAGCAAAAGACTTGTCCCAAGTTTTGGTCCTCAAAACCACCAAAATAAGTTTAATTTTTTTAAAAATTGAAATTACGTGCCTAGCACATATGAGGCTCTGCACTTGACTACCACGTGTGAGGCCCTTCATTCCACCCCCAGTGCCTCAAAAATAAAAATTTAACTAAACTAACCTTGAAAGATTTTTTCAGATTAAAAAACCTAAATTATCTTACAAAAAGTTGCAGACACTTTTGGACTAACAGACATACATAATTGTCAGTAGAAAAAAACTTGAAGTTTTTTCCTTACAGAAAATAGGTATGCACAGATGGCAAATAAACCCAGGTAGACATTTAACCATCTGGCTCAATGCACTAAATGCAAACATTAAAACAGTAGATTTGCCCCAAAAGGAACCTTAAATGCAAGAAAAGCACTTTCAAACTTTACTTTATTCAAAATCATACAAATTAATTATTTCAATATTCAGAGGTCATGGTACTATAGTGGAGACACATAAATATAATATACATTTAGAAATTAAATATAAGTCAATATGGCACTATATAAAAACTCATGTACACTTCAAATAAGTCTGAGGTTTGAGTATTCATGTCCATTAGATTTCTCCCTGGAAATGAATGAATCTTGCAGGGAGATTGTCCACAGGATATACAGTGGGGCTGGTTTTCATTGTAGGAGGTCCATTTAGAAGCCGCCAGTCACAATGCCTGGCCAGCTCTACTGTAAATATTTTGAGAAGAATTTTTGCGAACTCTTTGCCTACACAGCTCCTGAGGCCTCCTCCAAATGGAATAAAGCTGAACCTGGATGCATCCTCTGGGTGAGGTGGCATAAATCGGTCAGGATTAAATTCCTCCTTGTTAGTGAAGATGTCTGCCACATCATGAGTATCACAAATACTGTAGATAACATTCCAACCCTTGGGAATCTGGTATCCCTGTAAAAGATCATGAAGTCCCAGGGGTTGATAAATTGGAATTTAGCTTTCAACCACAAAAAACTATCACAGATATCCTTGGTGTTCTATGAGTTAAAAAAGAGGAGGGAGGGCGAAAGAGATTTATTTAGGTTATTGAAATCTAAGTCCACATAGTACAGGACAATGTTATCAAAATATAAGGAATGTAAGTTAATGCTCAAGAAAGCAAACGTAGGTTTTAAATCACAAGAGCAGAATAAGGATGCAAAGTTGGGAGAACTCTTAACTTACATTTAATTCAAAAGTCTTCAGAGCCACTCGAAACCCTCCTGGAACCGGGGGATTCAGTCGGAGGGTCTCCTTAATAACACACCCAATGTATTTAAGTTGCTCCAAAATTTCCATATCCAACTTGTTGTCCTGATTGCTCTTGCAAAGTAAGCCCTGTCCAAACAATCACACAGAGGTGAGTGGTTATTTTCCAACCCAGTGAAATCAGTTCAGCAGAGATAAATAGGACTAAACTCAAAGGGCCTCAGGATGGGATAAAATGAGGAAGAAACAATAGCTAGTGGACATTTGCACCCACATCCACTATCTACTTACAAATCCAAGAGACAGAAGGGTCAAGGTCCCTCACTCACTCACACCACCACCACTGCCCACCCTGCTCAGCTATGTGTACTGATCATGTTGTTCTTGCCTTCGAACACCCAAACCCAAGGAAATGGAATCTATCTGCAAAAAGTGGAGGATGGGCAGGAGTACAAGGCCAAACCTTGCCCAAGTGGGATCACAACTCAAGATTCCATTCTTTTCAATTTACAGAGCTGATTCTCTCCCCTCACCAGAGAATCACCTTGGCCCTGCACTTTATAAATATTTAGCAAAGGTCGCTCACTTATTCACTGGGAAGTTGGTGATAGAGCCACAGAATTTTCTGAGTTAATAGGGAGCTCCTAAGGGAACTCCTAGGACTCAGGACTGTCACTCAGTGGTACACTACCTGCCTGGCAAGCACAAAGCCTTGGGTTTGAGTCAGAGAGAGACAGAGAGAGAGACAGAGAGACAGAGACAGAGAGAGATAGAGAGACAGAGAGAGACAGAGAGACAGAGACAGAGAGAAAGACAGAGACAGAGAGAGACAGACTGAGAGAAATACAGAGAGACAGAGAAAGAGACAGAGAAAGAGACAGAGAGACAGAGAGAGAGACAGAGAGACAGAGAGACAGAGAGAGAGAGAGACCCAGCCCCTAGAGTCTTCCTACCTTACTTTTCAGCTCCTCTCGAACTTTCTGGAGAACATGTGGGTAGAGCCCCAGGTAACTGATCAGAGATGTTGCTGCACTGGCTGTAGTTTCATGTCCGCCAAAGAGAAGTTCAGTTGAAGATTGCTTTAGTGCCTAAAAATAAGGTAAAAGGTTTTACAGCTCTGTGGGCCAGGGATGTAGCTCAGGGGCAGAGGCTTGCTTGGCATATGCAAGGCCCTGGGTTCAATTGCCTGTACTCTGGGGCAAGGGAATCTACTTGCAGTTTTATGGAGGGATTACTGAGAACCAAGCTGTGTATTACTGGAGGAAAAACTAGAAGGACTAAAAGTTTTGCTGACTGCAAACCAAAGAACTCAACATCATTAACAAAATGCATGGTCTAGTTTAGTTAGTGACAGACAGTAAGTAAGATCACTTTTCAGGGACTTCCTTAGTTAAAGCACTGGCTTAAGATCGCCCAAAGTTCTTTACTAACTTTCTGCAAATTCTATCTTTCCTTTGGAAACCAACCTGGAGAGACTAGGACATTCCCATTTCCAGGACAGCCTGTTCCAAAGTTTTCTAGACCAAATGTCAACCTTCCAGATCCCTAGTCTGGGCAGATAGCTCACTGAGAAGCTGGGCCTCAGGAATCGTATTTGGAAAACCAGGGAGCCAACTGCGGGTGTCACCACTCACCTGCATGTCCAGTGGCTCTCCCTTGTCCCAAGAATGTTCGATCAACAGCTGCAGCGCGTCTTTGCAATCCCCGCCAGGCTCGGAAGCCCGCAACCTGCAGATCTTGGCTCGAATGTTCTCCTCAATGCGTGCATGAATGAGATTCCGCGCCTTCACGCCCTGAGTGTAGAGGGTGCGTGGCAATGAGCATGCACTGCTGCGTCCCTAGTTGGTGCCCTGAGTGGTGCACCCCTCTATCCTCACTCAGGCTGCCGCTCTTACCCGGTATAGCCCACTGAAAGGCACGTCGATGGGCAGCGAGAAAAGATTGCGCGTCATCTCCTCGAAGGCCTCCACTAGCTGTTGCTCGTCCTCCCCGCCACCCGCGGGCCGAGGTTCGCAGCCCAGCAGGATACGCATGGCGATGCGAAACATGAGGCGCTTCACTTCGGGGTAGACCAGGAGGCCGCGCTCGCCGCAGCTCAACCACTGCTCCAAGCAACTGCTCACTTCCTCGGTGATCACTGGCACGTAGCACTGGAGTGCCTCACGGGTGAAGGCCCGCATAATCACCTGAGTCCGAGGAGCAGACTGATTTAAAATTCTCCTTGCCCCTCTTTCCTGTGCCCCCTTTTTACCCTTAGCCCCTCCAGTCCTAATGCATATCCTGACTGGGAAAGCTAAACTGGCGTTCGGAGAGGGTCCCGGGACACATTTTATATCGCTAGTGCTCGCCCAGCATCTATCTGCTCAAACTCCTCCAATGAACGGGGTTTCCCCTCCCTGCCCAGGCGTCGCCACCCCGCCCTCACCTTCTTGCGCTGCTTGTGCGATGAATCGTGCAGGTTGGAAAGGCAGCCAGAGCCCAGGATGGTGCGGACCGATGCGGGCCAGTGGACCGACACCAGCCGGTGCTCTCCAAGTAAGATGCGACGCACGTTGTCTGCACCCATCACCCGCACCGTGGGCCGCCCAAACAGATGTGTCTTGTAAATGAAGCCGTATTTTCTGCGCTTCATCTGCAGGAACTTCCTCCGCTGTGAGAGGAAGGTGGAGGAGAGAGGCGGGAGTGAGGGGACGCAGGGTGCGTCGCGCCTCCAGCTAGCAACGCTTCCAGCGGCAGTAGCTTCCCTCATCAGGACGCCTACCCCGGTCTTCAGCGGAGGCTAAGCCAGCCCCGAGGCGGCGTCCTGTTCCGCCCCAAGCTCCCTTACCTGCAGCACCATCTGTAAGGTTTCGCCAAAGAAAGGGAAACCCATAGTTCCGGGGGGTAAGGGGAGGGAGCAGCTGCGGTCGCGGCTGCTCACGCAGTATAAGTCCCACAGCTTAATTGCAGCCAGGAAAAGCAGCAGCGGCAGTACGAAGGTGCAGAGCGCACTGGCCAGCAGCGCGGGGAGCCCCATGGCACGCTGCGGCCTCCCGCGCCACCTGCTGCCTCCAGCGCTGCAAACCCCGCCGCGCGCCCCCTTTATAGGCGTACCAGGTTCCTGCCCACGTTACCTTGTTCAATTAGTTCACTCAAAGTTCATCTTTAATTGCGGATTGGGCCCCAGGCTCCTCCCCCCCGCAGGGCGCTGCCCAAAACGTTTAACCGTTTGTTCCGCGGTGGATTCCCTCGGAGCGCGCCTCCGGAGGGTGCGGGGCAGGAGCAACGCCTCTCGCACCCAAGGTGAACGCGCCTCCTAGGGAATGGAGGAATGGGGGCGGTGGAGCGGGCATCCCGAGCCCTCGACTTCCAGACGGTCTCCCTCCCGCCGGGTCCAACGGGCCACCCCGACCCCAAGCCATTTGCGCTGCCTTTCCGTTTACTAGCGCCTCGTGAGGCCCTTTCCACCTGCCGGGGAAGCAAGGAATCATCATCGAGTGGACAAGACACAAGTTTCCCGAGTCTTCGGAAGATCCTGAGAAGAGCCCAGGGTCATGATCCAAGCAAGAGATGGGGAGTCAGTATGAGGAGCGCGTGGATCCTAGCTTACCAGCGCCACAAGGAAGCCAGCAGTCACTTAAGAAGTCTTGCAAGGTCCTACCCTAGGTCCCACACTACACAAGCCTGATCCCCCATTCTGACACCCCAGTGACGGACAGGGTGGGCAATTCGTGGGCAGCTAGGGATCGGAGGCTGTGTGATGCGGCCAAGCCAGCACTATTCCCGGGACCCTGGGGCTTGCAGCCATCACCTAGGCAGCAGGAAAAGGGTGCTTTGCCCTAGCAGGATAAGGAGTCGGAGGGAGGCACAGGCAGAAAACCCCAAAAGTCCTGGCTCCTTATCTAGTTCCTGACCTTGAGCAAGTCATCAGGACACAGTCTGGTGTCCGTTTACTCCTCCACCCGATAGAAGCGATCTTCCCAAGGTCTACACCTTAGGACAGCTGTGAGTTCCCAAAAGGAGGCCTCTGATTGTAAACACTCTTTCCATCTCCCAGCTCCGTGCCGCCAGCCTTCGTTATCAAGGTGGACGCGGGGCTCCGGAGCCCTCCTCGCTCTCATCCAGTGCCAAGCCGCCATCCTCACCCTGATCAGAACTTCTTGGCCCTAAATCCAGGCTTTTGCCTGCCGCTAATGGGAGGGTTGAGGGAATTCTTACTGGAGAGCGCGTCCTCCGGACTTTGCCCAACTTCAACTAGCTGCTCCTGTGGCCAGTACCTGAGCTCGGACACTGCGGGGTGCGCACGTGCGCTCTGGACTTTCCACCTGGCCGGGCCACGCAGCCGAGGACTAGTCAGAGACTTGGGCTGCTTTAGTTTGCTAAACGCAGCAGAGGCAGAAAGCGAAACAGAACGACGCACGTTTGTTTAGAACTGTACGTTGGCTCCTGGAGAAGCACACATCCCTGCGCCCGGGAAAGCGTTCCTTGTAGATAGAAAAATCTCTTTGATCCTAAGAGCTGTTAAATACGTAGACCTCCCGCATGGCCCCCAAACTTGGAGGGAGTCAAAAAATACGTGCAGAGGTCGTGAGGACCTGTAAGGTTCCAGCAGTGCTCACAACCGGGGTGCCCCGGAGCGTATGTCCCGCGCTACCTCCCACGGCTGTTTCTTCTATTTGGGGACTGTAAAAAGGGAACGCCGTCTTCTGAGCGGTAGCTGGAACCCCGCTAGAGGTAATGCTTAGAAATCTAGGGCGCGCCTCTTTCTAGAGGAACCCTCCGCCGCGGCGCGGAGCAGGAGAGCAGGGGGCGTGACCTGAGGCCCATTTCCAAGCTCCGGCCTGACCCGCCTGTGACCCCAGCAGGCTGGACCCTGACATCCGAATGAACTCTGCGCCTGCCACCACGCCAAGTTCAGTGTGCACCGGGTCACGAGATGAGTGCTCTTGTAGTTGCCACAGGGAGAAAGTTTTTTTTTTTTTTTTTTTAATATAACCTATCTGTGCATTGAGACCCGCGGGAGCGTCCAGGAAAAGATTATGTGAGAGAGTAAAAAATTATTAAAGAACATTTTAAAGAGGGGAGGGAGAGTCAATAAAGTACCAACCCAATAAGAACTTGGACCTAGAAACCTGGCCATGTTTTCTTGGGCTATGGTGGTGGAGTGGTCATTGGAAAACAAAATGCTTTCAAAATATTTACAAAATAGCCTTCCTATTTCAAAGACTGCCCCCCATTCACACTTATTGGGCCTGACTTTTCACGCCTGCTGTTTGGAGTGCCTTTCCCCAAACTCCCCAGGGACTATTCCCTTCCAAAATCCCCGTCACGTCCTCAGAAAGGCTCTTCCCCCACACACACACACGGAATTACAGCACTCTGTACTATAGGCCTGCTGTATTTTCTTTATAGCATTTTCTCTCGCCACTGGACAGATTCTTGCTGTTTTGTTTTCTAATCTATTTATTGCCTGAGTCCATGAGCATATCAAATCCAGGAGGGTAAATAAAGTCTAGAAGACCAAAGGACCACACCTGCTTCCCCTGATGACATAGAGCTAGTAAAACCAGACACAGCAATGGCTATGTAGGGTAAAACTGGAGCCACCCTTGTAGACCCCAGAACAAGTAAACCAAGTCCCTTGGAACCAGCTTAGCTATGGTGGATTCTGACAGGCCCCTCTTCATATTTTTCTTCTCTCCCCAAATCAGAATTAATTCTCAAGTGGGGTCCTTTGGTCTCTCCCAGACCCATTCTTTTCAGGCCAGGATGTCCTCAGTTTTCAAAAGCACCCTGAGGGCAGTCCTGCCTTCAGCCACCTTTGCTGTCTCTGGTGCCTGCTGAGTTTAGGGCCTGGACCTGTGAAGGGCCATGGGTGATGAATTGCCCTGTGTGGGTGTTAAGGTGGTGTAAGCCTGGCTCAGAAGAGCCCACTGTGCTCTCAAGCTCCCAACTCCATGCCAGCTGTGTCCCCTTTTCCTTCAGGTCCCCAGATCCACCTTAAGCATAAGGTCAGGAGGGTGCTGGTTTCCTTTTGGTGCACTAAGGGGTCAGCTTGGGCCTGGGCAGCTACTTTCTTGGCTGAACACTCACTGTCCAGCTGCCCAGGTCTCTGGGAAGATGCATGACAGGTTGAAGTAGGCTGTTAGGAATGATGGCACAGAGGCCCTTGACTTTGATTTAAAATGATGGGAACCCCTGAGTTAAGATAGGACAGACTGCAGTAGTTAGGTCAGACTAGGGACACCAAAGGAAAGGTTAAAGGGCTGGATCCTACATGGGCAGGTAGTGGGAGGAGTGCTGGCCAACAAGTCCACTATTGGCTCCATGGACATTCGTCTCTCTGTTCCTCAGTTTTTCTGCAATAGCTTCCCCCAGATAATTCAAAGCTGAGTTTGAGGGAAGTGGGAAGAGTCTGGAAACAAGGCTGCCCAGCTTCTGACCTCTCTGGGTATGCACTGGGGTGGGTCCTTCAGGTTTGTCCTTCCTTACTCTGTCCACCACCTGTGCCTTCCCACCAGGGAGCACCTGCCCAGCTAAGCCCTGGCCTCCTTGCTCAATCCCTGGGAAGAAATTTTATTTCTTGGCCTTCCTGTTTTTGGTACAAATATCCCAAACCTCCCTCTGATTATAACTCAACCTCTCATGAAGGGATTACATCACAACATCCCAGTCCCATGAACCAGCCTTAGAGGCATCTCTGTGTACCTATTTTTTCCTGTATAAATGAGATTAAATGAATTCTTGAAGAAGGAAACTTTTTAAAAAATAAATTTGCAGCAGATCCAGTGGTGCTAAGCCATTTAGAGCCCTGGCAGTGAAAGCAGTTCTAAGTTTCCTCCAAGACTGGCCAAAGCTCAGCAAGCAGGAGGCCAGCGGCCTGCAACCTTTCCATAGGCTGTCCCCTGGGGTGCGTCATCGTATGGCCTACCATCAGGCTCTCAGCACTCTGACTTCCTGGAAAGGTTCTCACCAGGTCTCTGGCACTAGATATGCCCCCCCATCTACCCAACTCGAGGGCCCAGGAACCTCCCCTGACTGCCACGGGAGGTGAATTGGGGCGCACCCAGGGGACCTCTTCACCCCTGCTTTGGGATGGGCTTAAGAAGCTTGACCCACACTTTGCCTTCCTCCTGGTTTGGCATGAAGGCAGCGCCTTCCCACTGGCCAGAGCATTTGTCTTGTGCAGTGACCGTAGTTTGCTCCTCCTCCAGCACTGAGCAACGTTGGATTAAGGATTTTTGGAGACGTGAACCAGCCAATGTGAGCATGACGCGCTGCACTGCAGCCACTGGGCAAGTCTTGAAGCGCCGCTGGTCAGAGGTGTACCCTATTTCCCGCGGCTGAATTTACAAGCGGGTGGAAAAAGAGCCGCAATCCGTCCACTGGGTGGACGATGGGCACCGTTTGCATGGCCGGGAAGGCGGGAGTGGCCAGCTCCCAGCGTGCGGTGCGCACCAGCTCCACAGCTAGCAGCTGCAGCACCGCCTGCGCCAGCTCCTGGCCGAGGCAGCTGCGTGCACCGCCGCCAAACGGGATATAATGAAAGCGGCCGGAGGTTCCCCGCTCTTCTTCACGAGCTGCGCCAAAGCGCTCTGGGTCAAAGCCTTCGGGCGGGCTACTGTATACCGCGGCCGTCTCGTGTGTGTCCCGGATGCTATACATCACGCTCCAGCCTTTGGGGATCTGGTAACCCTGCGAGGAAGCAATGGGACCGGCCTGACTATGAGACAACTAAGAACGACCCCAACCGCCGACCCACACCCCAGGATGAGGCAAACAGGCACGCGGACGCAGGCAGGAATACAGGACCAACACAAAAGCCAGGAGAACCATCCAGCACTCAAATGTCAGCCTCTTCACGGGTGAGCCATATGACCTTGGGCTTGATAATCAATCTTGTGGAGCCTCATTCTTAACTGATAAAAGGCGAACAATAATGCTCATCTTAAGCCTGCCTTGGTGGCAAATACCTGTAGTTTCAGCTACTCCAGAAGCCTGGGCTGAGAGTCCCAAATTGGAGGCCACCTGGTTAACTTGGCGAGACTCTGTCTCCAGCACCAACAGAAAAAAGACTGCACTATGTTGTGAGAATTGGGAAAAAATGGGTCAGGCATGTATTATTGTTGAGCAAATAGGATCTATTTGTTGAATGTTAGTTTCCCTTGTTTTATCTTTTTGATTCTGACTTTAAGTCAGGAAACCTATATTTTTGTCCTGTACCTATCAGATACCTGGGATGGACAAGGCAGCTAGAACACCCATTCTTCTAGGGTAACTCCTTTATAAATTCCTTCCTGTCCTCACTCATTAGCTGAACAATAATGCCCAAACCTGGCAGCCACACTTTAAGAAGACCACAAAAAAGAAAGTCCTTAATATTGCTGTCCATAGGTTCCTTTCGCTCAACCTCAGGGTTTCTAACCATGCTGCTCTTTCCCCTCACTCTCAGCCGACCCAACCCAGCGCTGTGGGTACGTGCGTGCATACGTGTGCGTGTGCGTGTGCGTGTGTTACAGTCCTTTGATTATCTGGCTGCCCTCACCACAAAAGCTTTCAGATTTCCAAAGCCTTTCTGATGACTCCCTGGTGGTGGAAGTTACTACTCAGATTTTCACCAGGTGGCAGAGTACAGTATCTTGAAATCACCTAAGGAGCATTGGTTCCGCTCTAGCCCTCAATTTCCCCATCTGTACACTGGAGGACAGCTAGGACCTCTTCTCGTCCCTCGTCCTGTGTCAACCTCACTAATAATCCTTGGTGGTTTTCTTTCCTCTCCTTTTGTTTCAGTAGGGCACGCCCACACATGCACAATGAAATACGATTTCCGAGATTTGGCATCCAAGATTCTTCTAAACAAGCACTTTTGTCTGGGCTGTTTCCTCTCTGTAGTGTGCGCTTCTCATTCTAATCTTTCACTGCTGCAGTTCAGATGCCAGTTCTGAAAATGTTTTGGTGTCACCCAGCACTGGAAACCACACTATTCACTCCATCATTTTTGATAAAGATGTCGGTCCCAGTTCCTTCCTCCTTGGAGTCTTGGGCAGAATCCCAGTGTCCCTTGCAATGCACCTTATGTTCACAGTGAAAGGAGATAGATGCCCACTCTTTGCCTGGAACTATCAAACCAAGAAGCTCCATGCCAAGAGGACTGCAGTGACCTCTCAGGCAATGCCCTCAGTTTGGCAGTACTAAACGACCAAATCCCAATGCTGCCACTTCTCCATACAGTCCTGGCTCCATGTGGATTTTCAGAGCTGAGAAGGACTAAGACAGCTTTTTCCAGAGGCCTCACGGGAAAACAGAACTCCCAAATGTCACTCAGAGATGGAGTCAGATCTGGACCTTTATTCTGCCCAGCTCAGGGCAGCCTGATGACATCACTCAGACTTTACCTGTATTTTAATTAGTATGCTTTCTTGGCAACTAGTTTTAGCCAGATGAGGAAAAGCCTGAGGAGTCATAGAGCTTTGGCACTCCATTCACACTGCGCGGGGTTGGGGGGACATGTTTAGCAAAAAGTATGTTTGTATTCTAAAACTCATCTCTAATTGAGTTGTCTACAGACTGCTGGCAAATCTTAAGTATATCAAATTCCTAAGCTTGCCAACTCACGGCGCCAGGCTTTGCACCCCTCTACCAGGGATCCGAAGAGCAGAAAAGGACAAAGACACTTTACAAACGGGAAAGCCGGGGGCCCTGTGAGACGATGAGGGACCTCTAGGCGTTTATCCCAGGCCCTCCTCTCTCCCAGCACCTCTGCGGGCCACAGGAGATGCGGCGCTGAAGGCAAGACGCACTTACATCGAGTTCGAAAGTCTTCAGCGCAGTGCGGTAGCCCCCGGACACCGGCGGCAGGAGGCGCAGCACCTCCTTCACGACGCAGTCCACGTAGCGCAGCCGGCCCAGGGCAGCCAGCGTGAGGTCGGGCTCGCAGCCGCATTCGAGCAGGAGCCCTGCCGCTCCGGGCACACAACTGCATGCGCTCCCCAGCCCTTGCGTCGCCAGTTCCTGTTGGATCTTGGCGACGGCTGCCGGGTTCTGTAGTAGCAGAAGGATTAGGGACGTGCTGGCGCTGGCGGTGGTGAAGAAGGAAGCAAAGAGGAGCTCCACAGCTGACTCCTACAAGACAGCCCGAGCAGCGCGGAGTCTCAGGCACTGCCCCACCAGAGACACGCGGCGCGCAAAGTTACTATTACCCTAAGGCGACCCAGTAGGACATGCTATCGCGGCAGCTATGTGTGTGGATCCTGGAATCATGGAATTAAATTCCAAGTCTGTCACTTGGGAAAGTCACATTGAGCATCAGGCAATATAATGATTTATCTACCTGCCTTGGGAGAATTTCCAGAGATACTGCTAGGAACTTGTTCTGTGTATTATCCTAGATGCCTTAAGTGTATTTTCTTACTTGATCCTCAGCTTAACTCCGTTAGGCACAATTCTCTCATTTTGTACAGGGTTGGAAACCTGAGGCTCAGAGAGATGCCCAGGGTCTGGTCAGCTAGTAGTCCCAGCAGGTTGGAGTATCTGGTATCCTTGATCTTCTAGTGGTGCTGCTGCCAGCCCTCTATGGGTGTCGTGAGGGGGACGGCAGTGAACAGGCCACAGCACCTGCAGCCACAGAGCCAGCCCACACCAGTGCCTGCCTCACACCTTTATCGCTGTGCTTACAAGATTGCTCTTGCTCCATCTCTATAGCTTTTCCTGGTCTGCTGTGCCCAAGAAGGGACATTGCCTATTCTTTGTCCAAGAAGGGCACCCTCACTGTGCCTGCACTGCCCTGATCCAGCGTCTTCTTTCCTTCTAGCACTGGTCTTTGTGTTTATTCTCTGACTCCTGGGTTGTGGGTGAATGTACACCCTCTCCTCTGCTGGGCAGGGTCATTTTTTTTTGGCAAGGTCATTTGTGTAGCACATCTCCCACCGCAGCACAGTATCTGATATTGAGTAGGTGCCTAATGGTATTTGTGGAAGGAGGCCGGGGAGATAGCTCAGTAGAATAAGCGCTTGCCTGGCAAGCACAAGATCCTGAGTTCAATCCCCGGTTCCACCAAAAAAAAAAAAAAAAAAAAGTAAATATATTTGTGGAAGGAATATTAAATCCTCAAGGGACGCTAACTGGGAGCCCCACTTTGGACAAAGAGGGGCACAGATATGGAGACCTCAGGTCCAATATCCTCCCTGCCCGGCCCATGTCTCCCTTGATGTCCAGGCCTTTATGGACAATTTCTGATCAGGAAGTTCCCTCCCTGAGAGTGTTGTTTCTCCCTACTCAGTCCTGTCAAGTCAGAAGAACCACCCACTTCTTTCTACACCACTTTCTAGAACTTCCTCCCTCCCCAACATAATGGGGCTCAAACCCAGAATCTTCAGATTGATCTATCCGTGTGTCTGTCTGTCATTCTGAGACAGAGTTGCCCAGATTGGGCTCAAACTTCACCTATTCTTTATAATCCCTTTGATGGCTCTGGACTTTACAGGATGGAAATTATTTATCTTATTCTCAGAGAAGAAACTACAGTTGGCCCCCACTTTTCAGTCACTGGCTGGTAGAAGGTGGAAAATTGAGACCCAGAGACAGGAGAGAGCTGTGTATGGAAGTCCCCTTTCTAATTTTCCCCTGACTTCTCCATTGCACTTCTTTTTGGTTTCTTAAGAGGTGTTAGTGGTCCTCCTGCCCACTGTGTGCTCCTAGCTGTATACAGGAAAGGGGTTGGGGTGCTAATTGACCAAAAGACCCTGCAAGGCAGGTCGAGGTGACAAGTGCCAAGGTGTCTCATGGAAAATTGATTTTAGGGAAGAAGAGAGGAATTTTGAGGCTGTGGAATTTGATCCTGAGTGTCTTAGATTTTGTAGGAAAAAGAGAGAAGAGGGCTTTATAAGGGAGTAGGACACCAGAACAAAAGACAGGGGGTGAGAGACTAGGGGAATGGAAGGGGTGGATGGGTGGGCTAGAGCTTAAAGATGGGCTTAGAATTCATGGCTTCAGTGCTCTTGGAAGGATGGGTAGCAGCCCAAGGCTTCACAGATAGTGGCTGTGGTTGTTACAACTGGAACCCAGGACCTCTCTTTCTTTTCACCCTGTGATGTACCTGTGCCAAAGGAGAAGTGGCTGGGGGTGCAGCATATGTGTGGAGACCTGAGGGTAACAAAGTGGAGGGCAATGGCCTCCCTCTGCCTACCTTTAGCTCCTGCACTGAGAGCTCCTGGCCCAGCTCCCTAGCGCTGTGAATGATCAGGGCGAGGGGGTCACCTGGCTCTGCAGCCTTGTCTTTCTGAAGCTTCTCAGCAATGGCCTCCTCTAGGTGCTGATGCAACTGGTCCCTGGCCCGGATGCCCTGATACATAAGAATAGAAGGCAAGTAGGATAGGCAGGCTCAAGAGCCAGGCTTGGTCACCCCATCAAACCTTCTCAGGACCACACTGGCTCTGCTGTGATCAATGAACCCCTGTTGTTCATCACTCAGCTTAGTTTCATACTTGGCATATAATCGGGGTCAATATATGGCATATATAT